CCTAAAATGGAAAAAGGGGGTTAGTATCCAGTTCCTGAAATCAAAATGTTTTGTTAGTTTATTTTTGAAAAGATTAGCTAAACCAGCTATCTTACTGTAATTAAGGAGAATAGAGACAACACACAGGCTTTTTTTTTATATTAATTTTATTACTTTTGCAATTATTATTAAACAGTTTCTATATTACTATTTAACTATGACACAAACCTAAAGCGCTCCTACGCGAAAAATTTGGAGTCCAGGGAAACCGAGGAATGTTCCTGTGTCTAAAAATCTTGACACTGCGAAAGGAACACACCAGGGTCCCCCAGACGGTACGCAAGGATCACTTGTCAGCTTGCTATCGAAATTAGACGTCGATACCAAGACTTGAAGTGTCCATAACATAGAAAGAGACGAATCCGATGCCGAAAACAATGCCGGAAGATTTCGAAACAGAAAATTGCGAAGTTTCGAATCGAACATTGTAGACCGAAAACGTTAATTTAGAAGATAACACCTGCCCCCAACATTGCTTTCTTAATCTTTACGATACATGTAATTTAGGTCTGTGACCACGGAAAAAAACTTCCGGCGTTTATACAATGATAGGGGCGTTGGTGTTATCTTCCGGCGTGATACAACTTCCTGGTTGAATGTGACGACCTGAGTACGGCCGGCCAATTCGCCATTTGCACATCCCCCACAATACACCTTGTTTGCCCCCCAAAACTTTGCATAACCTTTGTTTTATGTATCTACTAGTCATAACAGTGGTCCCAAGAGAAATAAAAGACAATGCTTGTGCAAAATTTTGGGGGACAAACAAGGTGTATTATGGGAAATGTGAAAATGGCGAATAGGGAGCTTAAGCAAAGACGTTTCTCGGAGCAACTTAGATCAACCGGAAGTGGGCATTTTGAATTCTTGGGCAGCACTTTTGCCCAAACTTCTTGGTAATCAACTCTATTATTGTCAACACTCTAAGCAATTTGGTAGCGTCAAGGCATATAAAAATGAAAATGGCCTCACTTCCGGTTGACTTACGTCGCTCAAGAACACTCGTGCTTAACGCCAATTGAATACAACAATTGAATACAACTACAAAGCAATCTCACATTACCTTCTGTTCATTTTCTTCCTTCACTTTATTCAAATTTTAATTCATTGGCTTAAGAGACTTAGTTTACCTTAACACTAACGTGACTAACTACTCTAGTCCACATATGACGCCGTCGATCTTTGTTCGGCTTTCTTCGGCCGGTCGGCCAGCACGATACCTTTCCACTGATGACCAATGTACCCGGATGCGTTGCTGTGCATTTCTGGTTGTCCATATATTATGAAGTCTACCTACGCCTACAATTTGTAGACGATAATAGCATTATTGCCTGCGAGGTGCAATGCAGGACTTTAGCAGAGCAGACCTTTACCGCAAGGCAAAATATACAACAAAGAGACAACCACAGTAGACGATGCGTCTCAGTGTCAATCCTGCCATAGCGATAAGAACCTCTTCTGCACTAGCTAAGTTTATTTACTACGGTCCGGCAGGTCCATGATCCTCAACGACTAGGGCAGTTGATCCTTGTAGTGCTGAGGTGCGTCCGTGATTGGAAGACTACCTACGCTTACAAATTGTAAGCGTTCTACACTATGGTGTGTGCATTGTCCCATTATTGCCCCGAGGTAGAAAGTAATGATTTACCTTTCAACTGATCTACGCTGGCAAACTTGGCGATGTAAGCTACTACCTCTCTTTTTTTCAGGGACTCCTCGGGACAGAGGAGACTACTGAAGGTAATTTCATGCCGCATACAGTGCAATTATGCCGTAATCAGTTTCCGGTAACTGAAGTCAACGAGTCATACAGTTCAGTAGCACGGCCAATTACAAAGGTATTAGCAGCTCACCAAGCCTACCGGTCCATTGCCTGCAACTGAAGAAACCACTAAACCTGTCAGGAGTGGCCAAATAAGGTCTCCTTACAAAAGTTGAATGGCCTTTGATCTCCAGTTTGCTACTTTTTATTCAAGCTAGATATCTGGGTGAACCTCACGGAAAGAAAAGAGAAGAGAGAGAAAGAGAAATTTCACTTAAAAACAGCGCTTAGACTGTTTAAGTGAAACGTGATTAATCAATTGAATTTTGCGCCACTAAACTAAGCGGTAAAACAGAATCGCTGCATCGACAACGAAGATGAATTCCTACGGTAAACGCTTTCGCACTTAACCGAAGCCGAATTTTATGCCAAAACTGAAGCCGAAAGAAGGCCGAGCGACTTACAGCAAAAATACCGATCGAAAACTGGTGACCGAAAACCCAAAAAGAAAACCTAAGGGGAGGAACCTTACCAGCCCAGGGACCCCATCTAACTAAGCTAACTAAGTTAAATTACGCCGAATGAGAAGTTCTCTGACTTCAGGCCGAATGTGTGTGCATGAAGTATGCTTTGTAAGGTTCATCCAGAGCTCTATTTATATTCCCACCATCCCAACCCACAAGGAAATGACTAACCGCATTATATGAACGTTGAAAATGGGGTGTGCTGCTGTTATGGGACCACCATTGGGTGTGCTGTGGTAGTGAAGAAAGCCAGTGGGAAGCTGCGGTATAATAGAAGTGGTCTCAGCGCTGTACTGGAACGACCTGTACTGGGTTGAGTCCTATGGAGTTGACATGCTGTGGTACTTAGGATATCATCGGGTGCGCTGCTGTAGTGAACTACCAATGAGCTTACTTTGGGATTAAAATAACCCCTTGGTAAGTGCTGCGGTGCCATGCAATCGAATGCAATGATTTGATTTACCAGGTCACCGAACAAGCTTTGCTGTTTTGGCAGAAATATGTAGCAAGATTGCAAATTGTTCGTCAGGAAGTCGAGGAAACCTGAAAAAAAGTGATATGCAAGTAAGAATGAAACTAAGGACAAAATGTCTACTTAGCTTACAGCTTTCGAACAAACATCTGGAAACGACGGTTTCGCGACTGGTGCAGTTAACAATATTTTTGCAACAAACATAATAAAACTAACATTAACAAAAACAGAGTAGTTCTGGATAGGATCCAGGAAAACTGGAAAAACTGTACAGGCCACCGGTGTAGAGGATAATCTTAATTTATCTAAGTCTCTTATGACGCTATTTGATTATTAAACAAGCTTTATGAAAATGCACTCTGCTTTAAAGAAAGAGAAGCTTTTCTATGGAGAATAAAATTTATAAACATGGCAAGAAAATTTATTAGGGCGCAAGATGAACTTGTCGGCGGTGCACTGACTTTCCAGCCTATTCAATTTTTTTCAAATTTATATTTTCTATCAATTCCAAATTTGAATTTTGGAATTTTACTTTTTTAGTCGTATTACAATAACACAATTAAATGCTAACTTGAAAACTACGAAACATGTTCATCTTTAATTTCTTGTTATCATCTTCATTGTGCGCGCCAGCTTGTAATTTTATTATCGATTCTTAGATGACAGTTTTTTGCTGTAATACATTCAATGTTTCTATAATTTTGCGTTCAGAGAACTGCTATTGTTACGTTAAATGGAATTACAAGTGCACCTTACCTTCAAAATTTTAACATAAGAATATTAAACTCTCGTACCATTTAATTTAAAAATAAATGTTAGAAACAGCATTCAACTGAGCAAAACTGGAAATGTTGCGAGTGTTTAATTTAGTACACGAATGAAATGTGAAACCACGCGGTACACATAAAGTTTTAAGTGGAATGAGAACTTTAACTCAGCTTACCTTTTTAGCATGGTCCTTCCTTATCTTGAAAGTCCTCGACCCTTGGCTAAATTAGTTTTATATTTGTGCTCAATAATTTGAAGGAAGAAGACCAGAATTTGTTGCTCACTGCATGAACTGTTTGTCAAATCTGAGCGGTTTTGTAAAGTGCGCCAAATCACCCCATGGCCCACGTGGAATTGGTCTTTTCTGATTGGCTCGTTGTGCATACCAAGCTCTTTCTGATTTGCAGCTTACGTAACGACGGCCTTTTCGGGTTGATAAGAACTAGTTTAGTTCCCTCCGCTGGGAACTAAACTTCTATCAGTTTCATGCAAATTCTGCAAAAAAATTATTGTTTTGACCTCCAACAAAGCCGCGCCGCGTTTCGTGGTTGCAAACCAAGAATAGCACGGCTAAAGCTCTTCATGAGCAACTCTCCAGGAGGGAGTTGGGGAGACGGAGGGAGAGGTTCCGGAACCCCATTAATATAATCCGTCAGAACAGAGGATTTTTAAAAGTTCATCAGAAGCTAACGGCCATGAATTTGAAATATAAATCACAATCCGAAATAGAGTTTTAGCTTAAGGGGAAACTGCCTATCTTGGTTATTTATCAATAGAACAACAGTGACCTGCACTTGCGACCTGTGTTAATGTTTCTGTACCGATCCACCCCTTCTCTTATTCAATTTGGTGATAATTTAGACCATAAGACATCTATTGCTTTCTAGAACCATTTTTCAACTTTCCTCTGACTGTATCTGGGGAAATCTTATCATGCGTTCTCCTGTATAGCGATGAAATCTGGAATGTAGGACTGTAGAGGTTTTGCTCAAATGCGAATTCAAAGTAGACAGACTGCAAATTATCTTAGTTGCTAAAATATATATCTACGTGTCGCAACTGTTCATCAGTAGGATGCCTAAAATGCGTGCAATTCCACAATTGGTTTCGGCTCCATTAAATCCTATACCAATTGCAGAACATTTTAGGAGGAGCCACCCACCATGTGAGCACAGTCACGGACAATGTATAAGTGAGGAAAATAACGCAAGGTAAAATTAAGACGTTAATAAACGAAGTAATTGTAGTATTACGCTCCTCCCTCCCCTCCCCTTTCCTTTATAAAGCTCACGGTTAGTAGACTGGCACTAGATTTTTTGTTGTTTTCATAATGGCGGCGGAAGCTGGTTGTCTCAAGCGCCAATAACCTGTTGTGTTTCGAAAATTCACTACGGTTACTTCGAGTTTTTTGTAAAATTAAATCAAAATTGTGTCAATGGTTGAAATGGCGGAGAGCCCAAGGGCTCTCGGAGTGCAAGAAGAAAAAGATCTGAAAAAGTTCTTAAAATTTCTTTCGCTGAAGGTAGGTACACGTCAAAACCTTACGTGTCCTTTGCCATAATATGATGCATATGTCTTAAGCTTGTCTTAAAATTCGCATATGTTGACGTGTTGGTTTATAGGCTAGCAAAGGCTTTCCAAGGAAGAATATCTAATATGCAATTTGTAGCAGTTCCGGCAATTTTATAGCTTCCAAATGATGTTGTTATATAATTGAATCTAGCAAAACTCACAGACTTTAGAGAATCTTTATAGTTCAAGAAGGCAAATGCGGATGGCATTAATTATAAATCCAACGTATGTATTTCATATAGCAAAGAATGGAATATGCGCTAAACTGTGCGTATTTATTTTCGCAGCAAAATGCTTGAAATATATGATGTTACGAAAACAGTTCATGACAGTTGCAGGATGTTTACGTCTTTGTGTCCCATGACGTTTGCATTAATTTTGTCATAAATGCATATTATGCAGTTTTACGGCAGTCCAATTTTTTTTCCGGGTAATCATATAAAGTCTATCAATTTCAGCAAGTTGCAAAGCTCAATATCTTAAAGGAAATTGTAGCCATTTAAAACTGCAAAATTGAGTGACCAAAACGTTAATGAGCCATGCATTCTTTGTAGAATTTATGAGAAAAGGAATTTATCTTAAGCTATTCAATTTATCAGGCGTAAATGTTCAGAGAGTGCTAATATTGCTGTACAAGGTTTTTGTCCACTGAAAATGAAAATTACTCAATTTCCTGGTGGATTTAGTCTCATTACCTTGATCGTAGAGTGATATTAAGCATAGATTACTGACAAGGCAAAAAAAAGATGTAAACAAAGATTTCTCTATAGGGACAATAATCAAAACCCCCCAAAATCCTTTGTGTTGGAAGGAAAGTCCCCAAAAAGCCAAAACCCCAGTTTCTATTTTTCAAACCATAACATTTAGTATTAACGCTTGCAGTGAAATCTGCAATCCTGGTTTCATCTTCCCACTCCCCCCTAAAAAATAATTGCCAGAAAACATCTTTGCCTCCAAAATCCCAGATTGGTGAATTTCAAAATGTAAAAGGTCCCTTGATAATGAAAGTATCCCCTTTCCTGAGGGTCAAAATGCTACATGTATAATAACCTGCAATTCCTATGATCAGATTACTCTTGCTATGCATGTGCACAGTCAGGGTTCTCATTAAGTGGCAGCAGCCGGCTAAAAAACCGGCTACTTGGAGGTTTGAGCTGTCTACTTTTTGGGGAAATAGGCTAAAATGAGAGAGTGATAGCTTGAAATTGCCTACAGCACTCAGTTACCAAGCCGCCTACTTTTATATCCTAGCTGTCTACTTTAAAAATTAATGAGAACCCTGCACAGTGATTTTGTTACAAATAGTTATAGTGAGTCCTCAGACTCATCTCATGAAAAATCTTGAGTGCCAGTCCACCGGACTGAATTGACAATTAGCAGTCTTGGATTACATCCTTGAAATTTCTACTGTAGTCAATTAATAAAGATAAATCAATATAATTAGCTGCCAATAAACTGTAGAGGAGACCGATATCCGGCCGTATGATCCTCATCCATGATCAGAGTCCATCCGAAAGTCTTGCATGAAGTACAGCGGAGATTCCTTAGCTTCGTTAACAACATGGAACTTTATCACTTTGCACAGTAACCATTGAATGTTAATCTTCGACAAACATTGTGCAATTCTTATAAACCTCTAGTAAGCGGACACCCTCTGTTAAGTGGACACTTGGGAAGGTCCCGAAGTTGTCCGCTTAATAGAGGTTTCACTGTATATTTTTTCCAGCTTACATAATAAATGATTCTTTCACTTCACCGTCCATTCTTTCCTATACTTTTTTTAGGCTGTACAAGTTATCGTTCAGTCACGTCTTGGAGAAAAGATCCATACAAAGTCCAAACCCAATTCCATGGGACAAGACTGGGTAAGTTACCAGGGCTGATGTCAAGTTGCCTAGTAAATGATGGAAGTAGACAGGGATTTAAACAGCTTGGGATTTTGATTGGTTCTATTTTTCTTCTATTTTCCTACAAAAGTAGGTGGGGGTCACATTCATAATGGCCAGGGGATTAAATCACTGGCCCCCAGCCCTTAAAAATGACAGCCAGGCTGAGATGCTGTACATTGTGTCTTACATTTAGTTTTACTGAAAGTTTTAATACAGTGGAGCATACATGTGTGACCATCACCTCTTGGGAAGTGGATCTGCAAGGATGGTTACAGGTGTTTCAGTTGTGGGCTCAGTACACCCACTTTACTTGGATTAATTTTTACAAACAATCAAAACAGGAAAAACCCAACTGTTAGTGTGAGAAGGATATGGAGAAAATAAAAAGGTTTGTTTCCATCGACGTATTTTCATGGCAGGTACTATTTTTTATCTGTAATCAGAGAAAGAGATAGAAAATGAGAAAGAGGCCAATCATAGAATGCAACAAATTTGAATCTGGATTTGATTTCTATAATGAATCCACTCCACTGGAATGTGGATTCTTGGTCATCCCAATGTGTGTTTGCATTTTTGTTATTTTGTTATTTTGGATCTTTTTATTTGACCATAACTGTATTTTCCCTTATAAGTTAATTTATGTTAAATGTAAATTCTTTCAGTTCAATCTTGCTATAAATGATCATCCTGATGTTGCTGCAGAAGTTAAGAAAGTGACAAGTGGTAGACTTCCCTCCAAAGAAAGTCCCATGTGTGTAGAGATATCTTTAAAAACCAACGAGGTAATTAATAATGGGTGAGCGTTACAGTAGCAACAACTTATAACAACAACACTTAATTATAATACCGGAAATGACCTAAGGCTAATAAATGCCCACTTCCAAATAAATGCCTCTTATCTAGTAAATCCCCCCTCTACACTGTTAAAATTGTATTAGACGCCCCTCTCTTGACTAATAAACGTCCCCCCCATTAGAATTACTCCAAAATCTTAGGAATTAGCAAAATTAAAGGAGCAAAATCGTTCATTTCAATTGGTTTCTTGCTTGATTAACCAGGGTTTACGCATTTCATCTTGATTAATGTCAAGTTCAAAGTAAGGATAGTCTAACGATGGCAGAACAATAACCCTGAGCGAGAATTCTGACATCGATGTTGGTATTTGAAAGAGTGATATGGATCTCTAGACAGTCTAGATACCAATTGATGGAGTGGATATTCCGATACTAGTATTTTTAAACTCTCTTGATATTATTGCCAAAATTGCCAAAAGCATGTTAGTTTTATTGAGCTTGTTACAGTTATGAGAATAAACACCTCTCTCTTTTAAACGCCTCCTATCTATTAAATGCCCCTGTTTGGTACCCTAAAATTAAATAGATGCCCTGGGCATTAATTTGGTCAAGTTATTTATTATAATTATTATTTATTTAGTCCACAAGGTAAGAAGAAATAACATTACTATAAAATTCAACCTAATGAAAAGAGAAATAGTTTAAGAAATTGATGTGTATTTGTAGGCCCTCGGAGAGAGTTTTCTAGAATATTTTGGGGTATGTTAAGGTGTTTCAATTAATATACTTTTTCAGAGGCCATACCAATATTTCTCAATCGCCTTAAAAGTGATTTTATTCTTGTCAGATTGCTATAAAATTGCTATGAAATTTTGGTGTAGTTTCTTTCTTGTGATCCTGAAAACTAACCTGTTTTCTTGCCATTCATTTCCATGGATTATACTCTTGCCATACCTTTGGAACAACGGGAGTCATCTGCAAAAAATCATTCTGTCGTTATAAAAGATTGCTTATGATGATGGGTCCAAAATACCTTTAGAACACTATAAATTGTAAGTGTAGGAACCTGTTGCTCATATTTTGTACTCCTTGCTTGTTTAGGGAGAATCTATGGTTTTAGAGACTTGGTGCCTTGGTATGAATGACAGGGTTGATTCAAATGCCAAAGTGACATACGCAGTTTACAACAGAATTGGAATGCTACTCAAATCTCTTGTGTCTGTCACAAGAGTGACACCTGCTTATCAGTTGTCACGGAAACAAGGGACGGATTTTATGATGTGCTACAAGTAAGATATAAAAAAGTGATGATATTATTTCGTAAGTAAACTCTGTTGTTCGGTTAGATAAGCCAGCATTCAAGAATTTTTTTTGTCTCCTAGCTCTAATGTCTCAAGGCCCCTTATCCAGTGGGTTATCTGGTCGGTTGGTTCCATCCAAGCCTTGCCAGCTTTTCCCTGCCCAACTTTACCCACCAAAGCCTTGTGTTTTTTCTTTGTGTGTGTGATTTAACATTAAAATTTACATATATTAGGTGTGATCTGCAGGTTCGCACGTTATTGCTTGCCAACATTAACTTTAATTTTATGCTAAACGCGTGAACCTGCAGATCATGCCTAATATATGTATGTATGCCTCCTCAGTCAGCAATTTCTTTTGTTGTTACCCCTTCCCCACTCTCCCATTATCTCAGGCTTCCTGTGGTTGCTTGTATTTTTACAGTTCCAACTTTCCTCTTCATTGCTCGTAAGTTTAACTGTCTTTAGGTGGTGTTTAATTATTAAATTTAGGGCAGGGAATTGCTGCCTGCAGCATCCATCCAGCCTTGTGCTGAAGTCAGGGGATTATGGGAATTCTGCTGGTCGAGGACATACATATAACCCCAGACACATAGATGTGTGAACCATGCGTCCTTGCAGTACAGGCATGTCGCATCCCCTCAGCATGGCGCCATGTGCCTATGTAGGCCCCTCATCCAGTCAGTGGGTTCTATCCAAGCCTTGATGGCTTTTGTTCCCTTCTTAACTATTCCCGCCAAAGCCTTGTGTTTTCTCTTTGTAGTGCATGTACAGTAATTGCTAACATGATTATTTCTTGCCATCATCATGCTCTCTCAGGGTTTATTTTGGTCAAGTCAGCTTTCAAGAGCTTGGAGAAGGTCAGTTTCAGCATCTAGTGTCACAGAACTGAGTGAATGAATGCTAAAAGAAGGAAAATCAGAAAAAAAATTAAAGAACTTTTATACTGATCATTTAATAAACATTAATTTATAACCTCTTAGCCAAAGAACAAAACAAATCTAAACAATTTTCCTGGCACAAGGGACATAAAGGTCTAAGCAAGTTTGAGGTGAACTAGAGAACTTGCTTCTGGAAATTTTTTTAATTTGAGTTGATCACCACATCTCATAATACGTAAAACCTGACTGGAGATTTAAATGACTGGAATGAAACATGAACTTGGGGCATGTGGATTTCAAGGCCAGGATAAACCCCTAATTCCGGGGCATCGTGACTCCCCAGGGAAAGGGGATTGTTTCGAAGAATGTAATAACTATGGAATTGCTTAGTTGGTCATAAGTATAAACACAGAGTTTGAGGGACAACAAGAGTGTAAGGAGAGTTTTGGAAGCTGGAGTTTGTTATTTTGAGCAACCACTCGAAATGTCACAAAGTACTTCCTTGGAAAACATAATTAATTTGCTATATATTAAGTTTTTGAAATGTTGTAAAAGAAAGTTGAAAGTTGCAGACAGAGATGTTACAACATGAATTTGCCTTTTGTTGTCTGCTCAACATTTTCTTTGCTTAGCATTGTCTTGTATAAATCTAACCAATTTGTTTTGACTAAATGAATAATATTACAGGTTTCCAATCACTGAGAGTTGGATCAATTGGTACCCCTGTGGGATCCATAACTCTATCTGCTGCCTACAGAACAAAATTGACTTTGCCAGAGAGGTAAATACAAAATTATCATTTCCTGTTTATCTTGCTGTATTGCAAATAATCCTTCTTCACTTAGTGCCACGTTTTACTCATGATGGTGGTAGTAGTAGTAGTAGTAGTAGTAGTAGTAGCAGTAGCAGTAGCAGTAGCAGTAGCAGTAGCAGTAGCAGTAGCAGTAGTAGTAGTAAACTTTATTAACGTGTCAAGAATCTCTAGTGCATAGCACTAATTGGTGGCACAAAAATAGAAATAAAATATATAGAGAGAATAATACATGGTCGCGCGGAGATATGGAATTTATCTTCGAGTGTTCACATCGATATCGAACGAGTGAGCGCAGCGCACGAGTAAGATATCGAATGTGAACACGAGAAGATAAATTCCATATCTCCAAGCGTCCATGAATTATTCTGTTTATTATATAAACAAGAAACAGCCATTCCATAAACCAAAACACTCCCAAATAGTCAAGAACCCGACAAATGTAATTCAAATTATCAAATTTAAAATGTTCTCAAACTATCAAATATCAATAATTTCACATGTAAAAATATCGTATTTTTACGTGTGTTCAGATACCACATTTCTTGGTGGTAGAAATCCTTGTAAAACACTGCAGTTTATATAATAAAAATAAATAAAAATCAAATATTAAAATAGTGTTAAATTAATGTTAAGATAGAAATGCAAATTATGAAAACTAGGGAGGTCAAAAATCTAAACCTATTTACACGTAAAAAGATGTATGTACATGATAACAGGATAGAAATTTTTGCTTTGTAACATAGGCTCTTAAAGTTAATTATTGCAAAGCATGTAATTTCTACAGCCATCTCTATTAAGGCAGTCAGGTCTGTTCTCCTAAGTTTAGTCTTAAACATGTTAATTAATGTCTTCCAACGCAGGTTTATGAGATTCCACCGCTAAAAAAGGTTAATTTGGTGCATCCTATGCTACTGATGTAGCCCCTGAACAACTTAGTCACTTAATATTGTAGACTAAAAGAAAAATACACAATCTTTGGCGGTAAATGGGACTAACGGTTTTTGGGTGCATCCTGAGGTAAAAACAAGGGTGGCAGCAACTTACCCCATAAAGTGCATGCAGCAAGGGTGGCAGCAACACACCCTTAACTGGGTAATGCAATGAGGGTGGTGCCGACACACCCTAGTAATAATATGTAATGGAATATGGGTGGCAACACACCCTCTTGAAAGTCAAGAATGCTGATTAAAATTTTTGTGCATAATTTCTTCAGACAGCAGGTCATGGTCCAGAGTAACCATTTTAGTTCCGAGTTAGTAAAGATGTCTCCGGATCAGTTGGATGGTGTGTTGCCTTGTGTGCCAGGTGGACATGGAATGTTTGACTTGTCTGCTGAAGCTAGGTGTGGCATAGTAATTTACCATTAACCCCATGTAAAATCTTTAGTCATTATTAAAATTGAACGAATGCCATGAAATCACCCGTGAAGTCATCCCGATCAGCTCTCTGGAAAAAGGTTGTAAGAGCAGGTCCTTGTTTTCTTGGTCGTAAACTAATTAAATGGAGGAAAAGACATTTCTACTCACAGGTTAACAGTTACATTTAGCTGGTAAGGCGAGAGCGGAGGTACATTCATGGTGCAGTTCTTACATTTCACGGAGATTCCTTGTTTTCAAACTCATTATTATAGATTATCTTTACTAAAAAACAACGAAAAATAAAATTTAAACTAAGGACAGAATTGAATCATAAGTTATTTTTACCATGAGTTGGAGAAGTGAACTAAAGTGTGAAAACAGTGGCAAACTTTACTCTATCACAGTTCTCAGCAACCAACAGGAAAGCTAATAAGCGTCTTTAAGTTCTTTATTTTGTATATAACGTAAAACCTAGTTTGCAGAAGAACTGTTTGAATACATACTGGTGTGACTGTGGTTGTCTTTGTTATGGTCACCTGTGCTTTCATTTATAGGCATCATATTGCAGAGCAGATAGCCAATGCAACGGAAACTGAAGTGACTCAATGTGCAACAGTCTCTTCAAATACCCCACCATCTGCAGCTCACAGACTCAGCGCAGCGTCTTCACCTCCTGGGTTGAGACGGGTCTCTCAAGAAAATCAAAGCGCCACACAACAGAAGATTGACAGGTGAACCTTGTTAAACCTCTTTTTTCAATTAAATTAGCTCCTTAGCAAGCACGTCAAGGTCAAATCTAAATCTACTGCAACTCGAATACTGTACTCTGATATGGGACCCTAATGAGAAGGGTGACATTTTGTCACTCAAGACGTTACAACGTAATTTCGTACCCAGATCTCTTGTTGAAGAAGCCTTCAGCTTTGAAAATAAGAGATCCAGGTACGAGATTAGGCACAACGGCGTGTAGAACGTAATGTTACAGGTGACAGGTTACAGGTCTCTTGTGAACGAAGCCGACAAGAGATCTGGGTTCGAGATGAGGTTGCTGGAACATTTCTTTACGACGTGAAATTTCTTAACGTGGACTATACATGCTGACGATTTCGTGTTTGTCTTTGGAAACTTTATGCTTTGCCCAAGAATTCAACTCCAGGCTCCGGTTGTTCAAACGTTGGATAGCGCTATCAACCGGATAAATCACTATCCAGTGGATAAAAATATTAGGGAAACCAATTGCGTTATCCAGTGGCTAGAGATTTATCCGGTGGATTTTGCTACCCACCTTTTGAACAAAGGACGTTTCGCCTGCATTTGACAAATTGAGCGAGTTGGAATAAAGACGAAGAATTTTGAAACAGCGCAAATTTATGGTGACTTTGCCGCCGTCACCGGCGTTGTTGGTTTTAAAAGCTCTCTTACCGTTTAGCCTTTGACTCTACGAGCACAGGATCAACTGCCACGCACTGCTCCACTGCTTAGCCTTTTAGTTCAGATGCTATAGCACCATTGATCGTAGGTACGACTGTATGGTTAGAGATTTCTGTTATTGTCTTGCGTGGACCTATTTTCATGCTAGACTTTAAATAGGACAAATGCTTAGGTGGAGCTTTATTGGATTTTATGGTGCTGTAGACGAGATAGGATTGCCTGTTCCAGGCGTTCAGATAGTAGAGCGCGGGAGAAAAATTCACAAAGAAAAAAAAACGAGGGGATATTTCCCCCCCCCCCTTTTTTCCCGTCTATCTGAACGCCTGGAACAGGCTAAGATAGGAATGGACACGATTTGCACTACCGCATGGACATGACCTTTTTACTTTTGATCTGATCTTGTACATAGAATAGAATAGAATAGAATAGAAAACTTTATTAATGTGTCGGAGCCGTATAGCTTGGGAACAACCCCATACTAATTTGGGGACACAATTTATAATTTATAATTAAATATTAAATATTGTATATCTTGCAAAAGAACTGTTGTCGAATATTCTTAGGAGTAGATCTTCTACGGACTAAAGGGTACCTCAACAGTTTTAATAAGGAGTTTCGTCATTTACAGCATGTGTACTAAAATTAACCCTCTTTTTGATATTTTAAACAGACAAAGAACTTTCTCTAAGCCAATCAACTGTGCGCAGATTCGAACCAAGGGAGCTTTTGTCAGCAGTGCAGACACTTCTGAAATGGTAAGTTCGGACGTTTCATCGTTACCAGGCCTCCCTCCTTTCTTCTACTTAGCGCGCGTCGTGTTTTGGAATGTAACAGAGGCGTATTTTTTGAGCGGGCGACAGCTGCTTGTTTATGTTCGTTCGTAATGCCGTGGTTGTCATGGAAGATTGGGGACAGTAGCAAAAAGGCTGCCTGGAAGATTGGAATTGTAGAAACAGCAGCTTTGCGCTGGGTGGTAAGGCGAACCTCGACTTTTTTAGAATTCAACAAGGCCGGGTTACGTCCGGCGTCGAAAAGGGAGGGGGAAAGGGGAAGAGGAGGGGGATTCCATTGTTTCTCACCTTCTCCCTTCCCTCACCTCCCCATTCTTTTCACCTTTCTCGCAGGCTAGTCGGACGTCCCCGTTTTTTTGTATCCTTCCCATGACAGACTGCGCTTTTCCGATTTTCCGCGCCACAGTGATGCAAAACAGGGATTCTCGTTGCTTTTTTCACTGTACTTTTTGAATGTGATACATGTCCCATAACCTTTTCATTTTTTCCTGACGTGTTCCCTCTGTTTACAGTCCATGCTGCCAAACCTGTCAGCTACTCCACCTTTTGCAACACTATTACGGAAAGACGAAGACAGCAAACCCAGCTGTTTACCTCCAGATAGTAACCTTAAAAATTCTTCAACGATGCTTAATAGAAAGGTATGTAACACTTCTCCTAAGAAGGCGCGCAACAGGTACTGAACATAAACAAACACTGTAAGCACATGACGTCGAGATAACTGAAACTGTATGAATAGAGAACAATTTGTATTACCATATTGATTTCAGTGTAGTCCCCCCCAAGTTTGAGAAATCATTAAGCTAAGAAGAGGAGGCTTTCCCTGTAGTGTCACTGTTGTTTCCATTATCAGTATTGTAGTGTTGTCAAGGATATCTCCCACTTTAAAAACACAGCAATACATTTGCCTCGTGCTTTGTCACTGCATAAGAACGCTGTTTATGTCTTAGTGTGTGTACTGAAATTTCTGGACCAAAGAGAACGAAACCTCCCCTTTTCTCTGGAATTATTTGCTACCACCCAGTGTAATCTCTATCTCAGTGAAACGTGCACAAACCCTCAGGTAAAGAGCTCATTTGGTTTCTGTATTATGATATTGCAGGATAGTTCATCGGATAAATTAGAAAGTAGACGGCCATCAACAGTTCCTCCTCCTACACCCAGTCAGCTGGGTTGGGATGATGACTTTGTCATGGTAGAACTGGTTAGTAATAAAACGTGCCCNAGTGAAACGTGCACAAACCCTCAGGTAAAGAGCTCATTTGGTTTCTGTATTATGATATTGCAGGATAGTTCATCGGATAAATTAGAAAGTAGACGGCCATCAACAGTTCCTCCTCCTACACCCAGTCAGCTGGGTTGGGATGATGACTTTGTCATGGTAGAACTGGTTAGTAATAAAACGTGCCCTAAACATACATTTTTGAATACAGAGGTTTAGATAGTGACTATTGAAAGTCATTGAACGGGTGCTAATTGATCACACTCATTTTAGAGGTTGATAACGATTTTGTCAGATAAGCATGGTTAGCTCATCAGTCGGTAGAGCACTTGACTGCAGAGCGGGAGGTTGCGGGCTCGATGCCAGCGGCCGGACCAACACTCAAGATCTTAAAATAACTGAGAAATGAAGGTGTTCACCTTGAAAACGGCGAGACCTTCGCGTGGCACGGATGACCATGTAAAATGGTAGTCTCATCTCTATTAGCGTCCTCGATTAGTACTTTTGTGCTAAAGACGTTGACTCTTAAATAAAGTGCTTTTATTATACAGCTATTTCGAGAGAGGCTGTCGAAAAAAATGTGCACGCGACAATTCCGAAAGGTAATATGAGATATGATCAATACACTGTTCCTGACACTGTAGCTGTCGAGCCTACTTTTGTTGCTTTCGTTTAGCATTCGCAAACGTACGTCCATGACCTCTCGCACCATTCTTACAAATTTCTGTGAAGAACAGTCAACTGAAAACCACCCACAATAGACACAATACCTTTCGCCGGATTGTCGCGTGCCGTTTTTCCGACAACCTTTCTCGAAACAACTGTATACTCTGCCATTAAAACCACCTTTTATAAACAGCATTACAGCTGGTACCATAGAAAGTGCTGCTCCCGCGGTGGTAAAAAGAGCTAAGAAGTGTCTCAGTGTTATTCTCAAAGACTGGTTCAGTCAATTCGTTGCAAGGCAAATTGATATCTGCTACGGCAGATTGTCACTTTCAGCTGTCAAGGTCAATCACCGGTTAGCCTGCGCCCCCCTGAGGGGAGAGGGCGGTTGTACAGAGGCTATCACTGGTCAGAACTGATCAATAATGTTAAATTTACAACCTTTCATAGCACTTGACACCAGATGCCTATTTTTACTTTTTAGAAGTTTTCAGTTTTATTGCCCATTTTGGGGCTGTTGCGCGTGAGAGCTCTGGGTTGGTGTTGTGTCGCATTGCACTATGGGAATGTTTTGGGGGCGCCAACACTTCTGTTATTGGCTAGTTCAAAGATACGCGAGAAACTGGGTCAAAATTCGTCCCGCACTGAAAACAGTCCCATGATGCAATCCGATCCTTCACCGAGCCAGTCTCCAGGGCAACTTCAAATAGCCCACGTTCAAAATGTTAAAATTCTAACATGACTCCGAGGCTTTCTGGTCATTTTTCTATATTTGGTGTGGCTTTCTTTGTATTCAAGTCTCTTTTGGGAATTGCGAGACAATGGAGTCGTGAAAAATTTGCAATTTCGACCCCAAACAGGCCTAAAGCCTCTGAGTCATGTTAGAATTTTTATACATATATATCGAATGTGGGCTATTGTCTAGGTGTGAGATGTTTTCATGCCTAGTTCTCCCTTTTTTACCAGAAACCAGCGTTTGCGTCACACTCAGGAACATCAGCAGGTGATCTCGGTAGCTTCTTTCGTGAATGCCAAGCTGCTCCGCCACTGAGTCTCTTTCAAGACAACGAGCTTCTTACACTCGACAATGTTATGGTACGTCATATAAGATAAAGCGATCTAACACACTTAATGTCCGTCACCTAAGGTTTTACGTAATGTGTCTGTCCATCTTCGTTGTTGTTTTTAATTGTCATATGTAGCTTTACTGTTTTTTGTTTTTTTACAAATTTTTTTAACTCTGGGACCACTGTAATTGGCTTACTGCTGCTGTGGTATCCCTACTTAATTAAGCATCTATTATTCTTTCTTTCAGTATATATTTATTATCTTTTCTTTTTTCTTTTTCTCTCTGTATCATGTAATAGGCGAAGCTTATAAAATAAAATAAATAAAATAAGATGTCACGCAGAACGCTGAGATATATACTCTGGGCTTGAAGTGGCCTCGTTTGGCAACAGTAATCTTAATACACGTCCACCTGGGAATGATAATGCTCGTGGGTTGTCTGATACTCCCCATACACTTTCGATTTTGATTGTTTGTCCGTTTCTTTTTCTCTGCCGTGCGTGTTTATTCCTACAGTTCAATGTAAGGGGTTAGCTTAAAAGAAACTGTTATGTTGCGTGGTTCAGGATCTTAAATACAAAGATTTGGTGTTGTCAACGGAGTTGATAAGGTAGCGAAGATTGACCACCGTAGGGAGATCGATTAGAGGACGTTTTGAGTTCTAGAGCTTCTAGAGTTCCTGTAAACTAGCTTTATAGCTACGTGTTAGTCACGTTAATAAAGTATGAGTGGTATGAGTATGAGCCCTTACAGGAGGAAGGATTAACACAGTTGGTAATAGTGCGCGGCCTTCCGCGCGGGAAGTCCCGAGTTCGATTCCCAGATGTAAGCACAAATCCTTCTTTAGACTTCTTTCTTTTCTGTACAGCTGTAAATGATTTTGAATACCTGTAAAACGGAGCACTGAAGGAGAGAGAGGGTAAAATGAGCGCACTGACCGTCGGGCTCTGGTTTGTTAATCAGATGAGGACAAGAGACTATAAAGGGGACAGAGAGGGCATCCCCCATATACACCCTATTCCATAGGTAATTCGTCTCGAGTTATTTTTAACACCACAGATCTCAAGGGGATTAGACAACAGCCAATCATATAGCGCGAATGTCTTCCGCGTGGATGACCCACGCTGAGAGCCACGCGTCCTTCACGAAATGACGCAGAACAAAATGGGGGAAGACGCGGAGAGCGATTTTGCTATTCCTTTTGTCGACGAAAACGACTACAGCGAGATTTCTGCGAAAGCTGTGTCAGCGAAACCGAAATTAAAAAAGAATCGCCCTTCCTCTCTTGTATAGAGCTAACAGTAGAGCAGGGAAATCCTTAACACACTGAATATTCTCTCAGGATCATTTATAATTTACAGTTTGAAGAGAGCAATTTCTGGTTTGATGTTTATTTTTTTCAGTCTTTATAGCGATTATTCCTACCCACTTACTTTGTCAATTGTAGGCGAACCCTCCTAAAGCTGAATTTCAAGGGACCATATTCAAGCTCAGAAAGAGAAATAAAATTTCGTCGTTGCTTATTTACGTCCTCCATAAAACGCGAAATTAGGCATTTTCACGTCGTAGTCGTGCAAAAACGGGAAAGAAATGAACAAAAAAGTGTGTTGCACGTGCGAAGTTGTTGTTTTGCTAATTAAACCTATTGTTTTTTTGACGTTCTAGTTGTCGTCCGCGTCGTTGGATCTTAAACTCCCTAAATTGTACAAACGACCGGTTTTTTAAAGCACTGAAGTTACGACAACTTCGAGTTAAACTGATTTCACGGGTTGTCAAAGAGTCCAGCGATTCCTTTTTCCCAGGTGAGCGCCGACTCATTTCGCTTCAATATTCAGGAATGCTCTCGATCTTTTTACGCTTTCATTGCCTCTCGCCCGACATGTTTTGCACGGTGTTTGGTAATGCGAAACCTCCACGAAACATCCACGCCTCGCGCGAGGTAACTTTATCCCGATTCTAAAAATAACTCGAGACGAATTACCTATGGAATAGGGTGTATATGGGGGATTCCCTCTCTGTCCCCTTTATAGTCTCTTGGATGAGGACTATTTTTCAAGCTACCGGCGTAAAATAAGGACCGTTTACCTTTCTCCCTCTGACAAGGGATGGCGCTCGAAACTTTAGCATCTTCTTCACCTACGGTGGCCAAACTACCTTATCTACTCAGCTGATAAAACCGAATCTTTGTATTCCTACAGTTCTCAATTACGACAATTCGGTCCTCAATGTATGTATTCTTGAAGCTCCGATTGCCAATCCAAATCTTCACCTTACAACGGTTTCGCTACTTGTCAAATTCGCTACGTTCGAGTTCTAGTCGTCTCACTGCCTATTGGCAAAGTCAAAACCTTGCACCCTCGGAGGGGCAAGCTTAAAGGAACGAGAAATATATTAAGATTTTTTTTTCAGAGCGATTAAGGGAATAATTTCAGTGGTTTACAGAAAGTAGTATGTAGCGAATTTGTCGCGAACTAGGACGTAGCTAATTGGACAAGGGGCGAAACTGGTTGTTACCAAATATACAGTTTGGGTTAGGACCAACACGCCCTTTTCGTTAGCGCGGACTTTCAAAGCCAACTAATGTTGAATAATTAATTAAATTAATTAAAAATTTATGTGTGGCTAGTAAACGCTTTCATCTTGGGAATGGCATCGTTTTCGTTACTGTGCTGAGAAATTAGGGAGCTTAAGCCGGCAAAGAAGTTTTTGAGTTTTCAACCGGAAGTGGACATTTTGCAATATTCGGAACTGGTTCACCTACTTTTTTGGCCAAGTCGTCTCTTTAAGAGCAAGGCAAAAAACATTACGAACTTGACCGCGTTAAGATATATGAAAAGGGAAAATGTTTCGCGTTCGGTTGACGTGCTTCACTCAAAAACGCCTTTACTTCAACTCCGTATTAACGAAAGCTCAAAGAATTCCTTTTGGAAACATGTTATAAACAACACTGACTGGGCGCTTTATAAGGAGCAGGGCTCGAAAAAACTTGAATTCCAGTTTGGCCTTTTGGCAAGCAGCTCTCACGTTTTTCTTGTCAAGGGCCATTGCCTGTTTATCTTACAAGATGACTCTTGCCCATTAGGTAGGTAAGTTTAAACCAAAGTTATTACTTGCCCAGCGACAAAATTACTTGACCTGCACAACCGGATACGACTTTGAATTCTTTACGGGACTTTTTGTGAGCCCATGAAATCAAGTCTTTTTTTGTTCTTTATAGGAACGTTTGGATGGAGAGCTCTGCGGCTTTCGCGAGAACGCTTTTAAATTTGATGAACTTTTAGCAGACCTGAAACAGAGATGAACAGACTTGGGGATTTTGTGCGACGACGAGCTTTGAGCAAAGATGGAAAAATGTGCAAAGACGTGCAGGTAAAAGATTTCAACAAAGTACAACGAGGAAAGAAATAAGCAACAAGAAGTATCACGCTAAGTTCAGCGCGGATATTTTACCAATTAAGACCGAGAACAGATTCCGAGATATTTTAATGCTATGGGCAGCAAATTTTTCAGGAGAAAGCTATTTTTATACAAAGAGACAGTGCAAGTGCATATGGATCGCGGAGGAGTTAAACACACTTCAGTCGAGGATAGAGTGTTCGTTATTAGCTTTATCTGCTAGTTGTTCAAAAGTTCAAAACTTGGACCTGTCATTTTGACGCTGAAGAAAACTCTAAGATGGAAGGGAGCATCACAGGATTGTTTAACCGGCGGCCAAGTTCATTTTTTTTTTGAGTCACGGAAAATTACTCTTTAGTGATTGGAATGCGTTGCGCATTCACTAAACCAACAAAAAACCGAGAGCGTTTGACGGCTTTTTTCATGCGTGATCACTCTAAGGTCAAACGTAGCCTACGAGCAAGCTCTCCATTTGGGGGATATCGTGAAAAGGACACGCGCGAGAGTCACGCGAGAGGAGACGTAATTCCTCCGCCCCTCGCCGCTCACTCGCTCGTTCTCACGCGTCTCACTTCACCCGCCCAAATAGCAGAGCTTGCTCACAGGCAAGGTCAAACGAAAGTCGCGCTATATTAATAGAACATTGAACAGGAATTTATTAGCGTTAGTTACGTCCATTCGTTTATGGTTACATTCGGTGAACGCATACCTTTTAGGCATTTTTTTTTCACCCAACGTTTACGATAGTAGACGTAAGCTGTCGAAAACGATCCCAAAAAGGTAACTTATTTGAAAGATACGTAACTAGCTCTAGTTAAGTTGTCTCGTGTGAACACCAACAATGCGGTAGTCTAGCACCCAGGTGCCCTCTTTTAAGCTGATACTTAAGCTTTTTCGATTGCTTTTTATAGCATATTCTTGCAGACAACTGGAAATGATTCGTTATGATAACCGATCTCGCACAGACGTGAAAATTTGTATGCGTTTACAACGTCAATGTATCGACGTTGGCTTTATCAAAGCTTTTGAACTGTTCTTTCTCTGTTCCTAGCCGGTGTTCTATAAGAAAGTGCTAAGTTTGGATCGAAATCCTCAAGAATGACAGCTTACATGAAGTCTTTGGAGAAGCAATTCCTTTAACCTGCGAAAACAGCCGTTTCTCCTCGCTCCTCGCGGCTGGGGACGTTTCGCGATGAGAAATGGCTGTTTTCGCAGGCTGCAATTCCCTGTGCTGCTTCTGATTCTATTAGGCTTTGTTCACACTCTCCCAGATAGCTTTAGCGCCGCCACGAAAATTATACCGGATGGAGCATCTGTTCACACATAAGAACGGTTGTGGCGGCGCGAGTTCTGTGACGGAGCGAAGCTGTGCCGCGCCGATCTCTGTAGTGGCGAGTCACGTGTCGGATAGGTGTTCACACTATACCATTCTCGTCCCCAGAGCCACTCGGCTTAATTTGTAACTAACCACGTGACCAAGAAACGACGGGCTCTGGGGACGAGAATGACACTATACTGGATAGCTTTTAAAGCTATCCGTAGGCGTTACGTCACTTGTGTGAACATAGCCTTACCCTGCGAGCAAAGTTTCTCTTGCATGGCTTTTAGCGTTTACGAAGTCGTTCGCGTCGCTTGTCAGTCGCGTGGTTACTTTGTTTTATACTAGCCTGCGAGCAAGCTCTCCTATTTGGGCAAGCGAAGCGAGTCTCGCGTGAACGCGCGAGCGAGCGGCGAAGCCGCGAGGGGCAGAGGAAAGGCGACAGGACATCTCCTTTCCTCGGCACCTCGCTCGCGCGTTCTCGCGAGGTTCGCTTCGCTCGCCCAAATAGGAGAGCTTGCTCGTAGGCTATTTTATACCGGCAGACCTCAGCAGAAAAGCCGCCGTCAATAACGCTATTTCAATTTTGTAACTTTTTTAATAGTCATTTAAATGATTAATTGAAAATGTACAGAAAGTTGTGCTAAAACAAGTAATACAGTGGATTCTAGATTTTTCGAGCTACCTTGGGAAATGCAAATTTAAAGTTCGAATTATCGAGGTAATTTAATTAACTTTTATTTGACTGGCGATGAGAACTTAGGTTTGGTTCGAATTATTAGGAATTTCCCGTGAAAAACGAACGATTCGAAAAAATTATGATACTAATGTAAAAGAATTCTGAATAAAGCAAGTTTAAAAAGGCAATTTCTTCTTCTTTTACTCTGTTGGGCTTGACAGATGTCAAGTTATATTTCTTTGCTGTTTTCTGCCAGAACCCCAGAAGTCACTTTTTTATTCGTTGAGACGAAAACAGCCGTAAACACTTTTTAGCGCTTTATCGATAACACGGGGAAAAAATTAATAAGGAAAAGAAAAGAAAGAAAAATTTGTATTGCTTCGTACGAGCCATCTAAATCAATAGTAATTGTGGTTTCAATACACAATCGTACATAAGAGTACACAATAGTAAGCATTAGCTGGCCATTATTTTACTATATATATATTTTTTTGTTTTTTGTATTGACGCTAAGGATAGGCGACGTGGTCGCGGCAAATGGAAAGTGCTTTAGCCTTTCTCAACAAATCAAGACGTTTTTCGTTTGTTTCGTATCAGACGGTAAAACCTCAGCTTTATACCTTCGGGTAACCAAGCTGTTGCTAGTTTGCTGTTTCGTCAGAATCTTGCAGTTGCTGTTTCCCGTTACGTTTTTGATTTTCCACCGTTAAAATAATGCCAGGATCCCGGGGAAAAGTAGACATCTACCGTAGTTTATCGTTCATGTGAGTCTCCCTTGCTTAGCTTAGCTCCGGAGCAAATCACCGGGCTAAAACAAATCAAATGAGACATTTTTAATTATGCGAGTGAACAGTACACACGTTACAAAAAAGCTTAACTCTTTTGTACTTTATAATCATGCAGCCCTTTAAAACGTCTTTGCCAAAGTATTGATTCCATCTCCTATTATAAAGTAAGATTTAAAAATACCGATCAAGCAGACACTATATTACCATATTGCATACTTATCACGGTTTTCAGTGAAACTTCACGGAGTTTCACGGTTTCTATCACGGTTTTCAGTGAGACTTCACGGAGTGATTCCATAGCAACCATGACGAAAATAAAGCAAGTGAAAAGCACTAGCTGTCAACCGCTTATCAAACATTTGGAGAAAATGGCCGGCAGGTGTTTTTTATTCCAATGGGGACTTTGAAACCATATTTTCTATTTTCTTCTGTAGGACACATGCTGACCCGCAGTCTTCGCAGCAAACTCTTTTAATTGTTCTCCTTCGTTTCCGCTCCCATTTTCCGAATTTAATTGCAAGGTGCCTCTTCGTAAGTGGTTTTCATCACCTTTTAGGTCTTGATTTGTTTACGAATTCTCCTAACCGCGAGACTAGGACAAATATTCGATTTTCGAAATTCCCAAATTAAAGCTTGCCCATCGTACATATATTTATTAGCGCACGGCAGCCATAGGCAAAATTTGGAGGAGAGGACCAGGAAAAAAATGGTTGGCCTCGATTTTTTAGTGCGTTTAGCGCTGCAGAGGGATTTTTACAGTGCGAAGTAATAGTTTTGCAAAGCAGAGGAGATTGTCTGGAGTGTAAACAGAGTACAAACGTGAGATTGCAAGAAAGAATTTTTCTGGTTATTTTATAAGGATCGGTTATCCGTGCAAGGATCGCGCGTACAGTTTGGCGATCGTAAAGGTCAAGGCAAGGTGAATTATCCATGAAGAATAGAAACCTGAAATATGGATCCCGCTACCGATGAAACGGGAAAAGAAACTAATGGCCAGGAGGACGATAATAAAGACAAAGACGAAGAACCGGTCGTGGATGAAAATGAATTTCAAAAATGTTCACGGAAGGGTAGACGGGATGCTTGTCCGGACATTCACTGTAAATGCGGCGACTCTAAACACAGCGACCAGTGCTTGTTACACAAGGAAAACTTGGAAACTGAATTGGAAGAGAAAAGCATGGACGAAAAGACATGAAAGATTTCCCCGCTACGCACACTGCTCAGCACGCGGCCTGCTTGCTTTGAACGCCTTTTTAATTTGACCAGTGTTATTTATTTGTGGGTCGTCTGGCACGGAGCTGATGTTTGAACGAGTCTTATATTTTTTGGAAACAAAGTGTAAAGCAGCCATTTTTACCTACACTAGAGGCAAAAGATGGTGTAAAATAAGAGAAATATCATTATTTATAAGGATAGCAAAGGCGTTCTTTCGTTTATTAGATTTGTTTTTGAAATTCAGAACAAGATGGAGTTTTCTTTTTTTGTTCGTTTGTTTTTATCTCAATTTGGAAGCAGGTGACGAGAACCTAAAGATATCATGACAAAATCTTGATAATATTCATGGTTTTTGAAAATCAAATGTTTTGGTGTCTTCGATTGAACTGAAACCTCAACAACTGTAATTCTCCTTTAAATAGAAACATTTTACAAACTTCGCAATTTTTTCGCAATTTAAGCTGGTTTTTAACGTGAAATTCTTCTCGCAGCGTTCGTAAAGTGTTATGGCCAGTCTTAACGATTATACCTTTTCGTGCGGGGGGAGAGTTATCCTTTTTAAAATGCAATCCCTTAAAAACAAACAAGCATTACCTTCGTTGTAATAAAACACAGACTTTTTAATGCCGAAAGCATTTGTGTGTGTAAATTTTTTTCCCCAAAATAATCATGCTTTTTGCTTTTACATTTATATAACTAGATGTTATATTCAGTAGAACAATGAATTATTGATACAAATTACCAAGTGATATTGCGTGAATTTGTTTTTAACAGGAAAAATAGAAACCGAAAAGCCATCTTCATTTTTTACTTTAATTCTAGTTTTATTCGATAATTCGATATATCGGCTATTTTAGATTTCCTTTTGACCTAAAACTATCATTTTATTAACCTCACAATTGTATTTTTGCTGGTCGTTGTATAAACCTCCACATAATTGTACCTGGTTTTATTTTTGTACTTATTATTTCAGGTTACGTCAAGGAACATTTAATATACCCTTAGATAACTAGATAATTTCGTAATCATGCAATTTTTTTCCATGGATTTTTTTCTACCGCCATTACTAAGTGAGCGCTGCTGTGTAATCCATTATACAGAGTCTATTTTTAGTCCGCTTAGGTGGTTAACTCAGCTTTTATTCAACCGCTTCTGTTGATTAAACCTGTTCATCTTTGCACCTGTTTTTGTCGACTACAATGGATTTATTGATGTCGTACGAGGAATTTGTCAGAGATAATCTTTTGGAAGTCAGTAAATGGCCGTGTTCATTAAGCTTAATTCCTAAAGGAGTTTGACTGATGGTCGCCGGTCGCGGGTTGTATATCGCGGGTTCAGGTTGGAAGTCGCGGGTGCGAGCTGGATATCGCGTGTGCGGGTCGAAAGTCGCGGGTGCGGGTTTCGATGTTGCGCGTGGGAAAAATGATTTTGCGTGAAATTCAAGTTAGTTTCGAGGTAACTGAGTAAAAATGACTGCTGTAATCATTTTTTTTTTAATTTTTAAGATACCAGGATCGTTTTTTCGTGGTCTCTATAAGTTGAAGGTTGCGTGCAGACAACGAAAGCCAGAAACTATGTTACTACAGGCAGACCATCCGAACTGTTCGAGACATCATGATGTCACGCGCGACATGTGATCCCATACATTTACTGTATTTCGTAACGCCCGCACTAGGCTCGATTCAAGTGATCGCGGTAGAAATTCTTCATAAAACACAGAATTTTGCACCTTTTGATCCCAAATGTTGATATAATGTAAGAAAAGAGAATAAAGATAACTTACCGTATGTTTTTAGTGTCGTGTTCTCCCCCGACTAATAAAATTTATCTATTTATTCTGAGTTTATCAAGTCAATAGGAGCTTTTGAAAGTTTGTACTGCTTCCTTGCAAATTGTTGAAATTTGCACCCATTTCGTGATTATAATTATTTTCGATTCAAGTATATTAAAAGGGTAGGAATTTCACGAGTCATTTATGAAAGGATAGGGTAAACTCAGGGTAAACTGTCATAGCAGTCTGCGAAAGGACCTAAAAGGGCTAGCAGACGCGTGTTATGGCTGTAAAAAGGACGAAGAAAACTTCCTGGCTAAGTGATGTAAATGACGGTGCATTTCAGTGTTCTAAACTTGGTATGTGAAAAGGGGTGTCATTTGTCAAGTAAAGGTATACGATAGGGGGACCTTTTCTGTCAAAAATGGTATATTAAAGGTAAGGTGTTGGACCTGGGGGCGGAACCTTCCCATGAAAAACTTTTTGTTGATTACCCCCTCCCCCCGTGACCATAGCAGCTAGTCATCCTTGCCCTCCCCCGGTGACGATAGCAGCTACACGACTATGACGCGAAACCTCCTAAGGCAATGTTTTAGTTTTGGAGGATGTGAACATACAAGGACGATCTTTCCTTTCTGTTTTTGAACCTGGATAAAGTCCTTTTTAAAAAAATTCAATTCCAGGAGAAATCGCTCGCATTTGACAAATTANGTAGGAATTTCACGAGTCAAGTATATGAAAGGATAGGGTAAACTGTTATAGCAGTCTGCGAAAGGACCTAAAAGGGCTAGCACACGCGTGTTATGGCTGTAAAAAGAACGAAGAAAACTTCCTGGCTAAGTGATGTAAATGACGGTGCATTTCAGTGTTCTAAACTTGGTATGTGAAAAGGGGTATCATTTGTCAAGTAAAGGTATACGATAGGGGGACCTTTTCTGTCAAAAATGGTATATTAAAGGTAAGGTGTTGGACCTGGGGGCGGAACCTTCCCATGAAAAACTTTTTGTTGATTACCCCCTCCCCCCGTGACCATAGCAGCTAGTCATCCTTCCCCTCCCCCGGTGACGATAGCAGCTGGTGATCCTTCCCCTCATCCCCGTGATGATAGCAGCTAGTGACCTTAAAGTTAAAGCATGCTTCCCCACTGCAGTTCACTGCGAGGCCTGGTCCCAGGCTACCTCAAGGCAACGAGAACGTTGACGTCCCTGGCCACTCTAGTCGCCAGCTAGGCATTTTCTCAACGGCGTTGTCCACGCGAAGTAGTAGTAGGGAGCTTAGGCAACCACGACGACGAAGTACAACGACAACGTCAGAAAAAAATGGGTTTTATGAGCAAAACAACAGCTCTGCACGTCAGCACGTGTATCACGCTTTTTATATACATTTCTTTGACATCCGCTGCACGACTGTGACGTGAAACCTCCTAAGGCAATGTTTTAGTCTTGGAGGATGTGAACATACAAGAACGATCTTTCCTTTCTGGTTTTGAACCTGGATAAAGTCCTTTTTAAAAAAATTCAATTCCAGGAGAAATCGCTCGCATTTGACAAATTACGCGATATAACTTAGAAGGGCGCCAATTCATTTTTCAGTTTCGTATGTTCGGTAGGGAGCGGTAGGTGGCCAGCTTCCCAAAAACCTAAATTGATCCACGTTTTCACCACCGTCATCCTCGTCGTTGCAGAAAGTTCTCGATCGGCGAGTCTCTCTCGGTGACGTCACAGCTCACGGTGGAGTCCAGGTTTGACCGAGCCGAGAACATCCAGAAACTAAGCTGGTCCCAGATTTCGACAGATTTGTTATATCTTTTCTCTCTTTTTCTGTGCTCTGGCTCGTTCACGACCGACTACGAAAAGCTTTTGAACTCGTAGTGCCAGACATGTTGCAACAAGTGGAAACCAAACTTCCGGCTGTTCAAACATTGGATAGCGCTATCCACCCGATAAATGGTCATAAATCACTGTCCAGCGGATAAGTATTACTTAAACTAATTCCGTTATCCACTGAATAGTGCTTTATCCACTGGATAGCGCTATCCTCCTTTTAAACAACTGGGGCCAGGACGCTTTGGATGTCTGCGTTCTCGTTACATGGCTCCCTGCCCCCTATCTTGCCCAAGTTAGTTGTTTTGTACCATTCCTGGAGGTACTTAACAAAGTTTTAGACGGAGAGGCTCCGCTCCGTGGTGCAACCACTTACCCTTTATAATTATACCATTTTGGGCAGTTAAGGAACCCCTTTCGTATACCTTATATTATATCCCTTTAAACTGCAGTAAATGCACCCTCTTTAAGATATGAATAAAGCCCAAACCAGAACGTTTTCTCTACTTTTTCACAGCCATAAAAAACAGCTGTTAGCGTGTTATTCCTTTTGGGTCTTTTCACGGTCCAAAATCATGACAGAATTTCCTACCCTTTCATATACCTGAAACCTGAAAAAGGTACCCCTTTCGGGGCGGAGCCCCCCCGTATAGGCCATCGTAGGGAGAATCCCCCGGGAACCATTCTCGTGCCTTGACCCCGTCGTTTCTCTTGAACAAATTCAGCCGAGTGGCCCTGGGGACCAAAATGATTTGCATTACTTATTCGTGAGATGTCAGGAGCCTCCTCAAGAAGATTAGGTGCTTTTGATCCTGAAAGACGTATTGACAATCAAAGTTCAATTCTGTATTACTCTATCTCCTGTACATCACACCCTGGGGGCGGTAAATGTCATGTTAATAAACGTTCGTTGTTTTTGGAGAATTTGCAATTGATAGGTTTAGTTTTAACCCCGAGGAAGGATCACGGATTTTTCTTAAACAAAGGTGCGCAAAGCAAAACAATAAAGGGTGTAATTGCAAAAACAAAACAAATTCAAAGAGATACGTGTTATGAGTATTAAAACTTTTTGTTTATTTTAAGTCAAACTAAGAATAAAATTGCGTTTGAGGGGTTGTAATGTGTTTCTTTATTCTGACAAAAAAAGGCCTTCAGTGTGGGCTCAATGGACGTAAATATTGTAAACATAAAAAAAAAAACACAGGAAAAGTACTTCCTCCAATAACTTTTTCAAACTTAATTCAGAGAAATACATCTGTTGAAGGCACTGGATACCTTCATGAGTAAAGCTTCATAACTGTTTCCCCTATGTAAATACAGGTGTGTGCATACCCATAGTTCCAACCACACAAAACTGACTCGAGTAACAACCTAGTTGAAGTAAGCCCTCAACCTCCAACCTCAACTCAGATCTCTTTTCCACAAAACTGACAAGTGATCTGGGTACCAGATTACTCAGTTGTCTTCTAAGCAAAGGCGAGTGGGTATGCTTCACTCTATCCAAACAAAGATTACAAGTACCAGTTCCATCAAATTAATACATTTTATTGAACTTCAACTCAATGTAAAAGGAAAGTTTAACGGTAAGACTTCTGGTAGCGAGATCGGGCACCAGGTCCACCAAATTTCTTGGCCTCGCAACGGCGTGGGTCTGCCACAAGTAGGGAACGGTCGTACTGGACAAGGATGTCACGGATCTCTCTTTTGGAAACCTCATCCACAACTAAAAAATCCAACAAACCATGAATGGTTAAAGGACAGCTCTGCTTCCAGGGTGAAATGACAGCAGCTTCTGACAGGTCATTTTTGAGCACAAGTCTGTTATTACTTTTTTGTTTGAAAAATGTGTGATTATTCCCAGTTTTCCCTAATATTTCAATAGCTTATGCAAAGACATTCCCTTCCTGCAGAGTCGAGGGACACACACAGTTTACTTTGTGTAACGAGGAATGGTAGCTGAAACAATAGTTGACTGGTCCAGCCTGCCTTCTGAAGGTTAAGTAAGCTGCTGCTTAGGGCTTCTACATCTTTGTAAGGGGCTTTGGGCAGGCTTATAATTATTTGTTAGAGGAGCTTATATCCAAGGGGGCTTAAAACTGCAATAGAAAAAGCACTTTGAAAAAAGCTACAGTAGTGCTGATCAAAAATAGCTTTAGCATTTGCTGGTGTTTAATTAAGCTTCAAAATGTCATAATAAATCAAATTCATTTCAATACATTTGGAGAGGTGCTGATCAGTGGATGTACATTTTTGTTTAGAGGTAAAAAGGCCCATAACTGGAGGGCTTACACTGTATAAGTGGCAGTGTACTCACATTTTTGATAGTAGGCTACCAAAGACTTGGCTATGGCTTGACGGATTGCTAAAGAAAAAAAAAAGTAATTAGTTAACTTTACTTTGCCACACCATGTTACTCATAGTTTAAAATTAATGTCCTTTGTTTCTGGGTGGAGCAACATACATGCTAAATGAAATTCAGGCTGAGTCAAACTCGAGACAATGCTGGCCAGCAGTCTCTCACATTTTTGAGGGTGCCCTAATAGCTTCGCAGGGACCTTTGCTTTTACAGCTTGGCAACTGAGGTTAGCCCATTATGTTCACGTTGCTTCTCATTGTTAATGCTTGTTAGCCTGTTTTCTCCCTTCCCTACCCTCCCTTTGGTAAGTATATGGTAAGTATTCTAGGTTCCACTGGTTAGCAGTGTGACGGTGCCTGCGTGGTTACTGCTCTCTGCTACAGCCCTTGGCTCTGTCAACTTAAATCGTGCACTTTCCCCCCCCTAACACTCATCTATGTTGATGAGTTTAATGAGTTGGACACAGCGGAAAATAATATTTGAACCACGGATAAAATTGAACTTAACCTACTTTGATCAGTTATAAAAAAGATAGTTAGCATAAGGCCACTCTGCCTCCTGTACGCCCAGGGGGGTACTCGGGATTTCAAGTGACGGGGATGATCGAAGGATTTTTTTGGGTTTGAAATTTTCGATTCCGGGATTTTTTTGGGTGTGAAAATTTGGCAAGTATTTTTTTGGGTAGCTTGATTTGAGTAGGGATTTTTTGGGGGGTATTGAAAAGAATCGGTAGTGCCCTGGCTGCGTAGTTCTGTGAATTAAGTACAAACAAATGACTGCCAGATGAGGGAAAGGATATATTGAGATGAATAAACAAACACGAGTGTTCAATTTCCAATGTTTCTCTTTGTGTTATAGCATTACTCCTTTCTTGAACTTTTAAGGGCCACAAAATCGGCATGGGATTTTTTGGGGGTTAATTTTTGGTCCAGGGATTTTTTTTAGGTTTTGCTGGAAGCCCTAGGGATTTTTTTGGGTCTTGACTTTTGGCTCCATTCGATCATCCCCGTCACTTGAAATCCCGAGTACCCCCCCTGGGCCTGTATGTGCACACAATTTATGAAAAGACAAAGGTGGAAATTACCGTGAGACCTGCATTGGGAAAACAAAACATAAAGCTTAAGACATCTATTAATAGTAGGTTGTTCTAAATCAACAAGTGACAGCAGTGAATGGTCCAGCGTGCAAAGAAAGAAGTGTCTGATAGCCTGGGGCTAGTGGATTTTGGCTACGGGCTAGTGAATTCTGTTTTTAACTTACCCAATGGGCAAGTGATGTTTTTTGAGGAATTCGAATGACAGAAGAACTGTGAAATCAATTCTGCTAATCAAAATGTTTTTAAGGCTAGTTGAAGTGACATCTGGGCTGGTAAATGCTAGCTTCAGCTTGTCCAATTTGCAAGCCGTACAAATGATTTTCTTCACACCCTGTGGTTGCTGTATTAAAAAATGTTGTAGACAATACTATGCTCTTCTAACACTTACCATAAATCCTTGACACATGACCACCACCCTTAACTCGCACACGGATATCAACACCCTCAAATCGATCCTTTCCCAGGAGAAGGATAGGCTCTTGAACCTAAGTCACAAAACACAACCAGTTATGGGCTTTGCTCTCAATTTTAAATTTTTACATTAAAATAAGCCATCCCAAGTTTTATGAAATCTCCCAACGAACCACATAGTTCTTTCATAAACTGGAATCTAGGGTTAACATAAATAGCACACAGATGGCAAAAACCACGATCTTCTGACCGGCAGCTCTGCTGGGCTTTTCCTTTGATTCTTAATTAAAAGATGGCAAGATCAGTCCCCTACTTCGGAATTAAATGGCCTACATCAAGACGTTCTGACCAACCTGGGGATCAAGGCTCAATTCTCTTATGCTTAAGAAACAAAAATTCCCTTGCTCCCAAGGTACTGGTTATGTCGAAAAGAAACATCTTCATGGGACATTCACTTTGTATCTTCAAGTACAGTACAAAAAAAATAACAAATACCTTGTATCTAAGGGTTGATGGTTCTACTAGGTGCAAGGGACATCCATTTATCTTGATGAGGCCATTTCCACGCTTGCAGAAGGCTACAGCTGTGGCTGTTTTCTATAGAAGCAATTGTCCACGAATTATTCACACTACACAAAAAAGTATCGTTCTGATAAAGATTTCTGAGATACAGCAATACCCAATGAGAGCATTTATAATCAACTGTTACTATTATTTTGTTCTCAGGACAGTAGTCCACCTATGATCATGCTCTGTGCTGTAATTAAACTGCAAAAAAAAAAATTCGACACAATCCCATGCAGTTTTTTTTATACAGGTACACTTTCTAACTCACACTCTACTAATTGTCAATATGATCATGAGGAACAGTTGACGTACCATATTTAAGGTTCATACGGGAACAACAATCCAGTTGATTATAAGAAGCTTACTAAATTTCGGTCAGTAGTAAGAATAATTCACAGCCAGAAATGGGCTATCCGAGGTAAATAGTGATCCCCCCAAAATTCACGTGAATACAACTCAATGTCAAATACAAGAGGTTTAACATAAGCAAATTGTACCAAACGTTGAACCGCTATCAAATTTACAATGCACGTGTCTGTTTGGTCAACATAGAACAACCACAAATTCGTTCATTTTTTGCTTACCTTTCGTCCAAAAACTTGAACTGACTGACTCATCTTAAAACAAAATACATATTGAATGAAATTAGATATAAGTCAACGACACATTGATGCAAAAAAATCGAGATTTTGAAGTAGATTTCTCATACCTTTCTGTTCGAAACGAAGAGTTGAAGCAAGAGGGAGACAACCTTGTGCGCATGCACCATTAAAGGCACGCATCATGCAAACGAGGCTAGATTTGAGAAATGGAATCTTGGAAGGACTGACTGGACTCTCGTTCCTAAGGGAGGGAAGCGAGCATTGTTTGAGTTGTTTGACTTTTTGTATATTTCCTTACCAGAAGTGTATTCAGTGATGACTAGAGAGTTTATTCTTGCCATGAAAATACAACAAGTAGCATTGAATTCGTGAAAAAAGGAAGAAATTACAACCCTGGGAACTCAGACGGGTGCAGGG